TTCTAGATTGAACCCTTTTTTCCTTCCATGTGAAAAGAGTATGCTCTTAGAAAATGTAGAACCCTTAAGAAGGTCTTCTTGGGTGTTTACTTATGAGAAATAGTTCCACGTAAACCTCTTTTAAGATGTTGTAACTATCCAGTCAACCCATAAAGAACCCTTGAAGGACCCTTTCTTCTAAGCGTACACTATTTTCTTCAAAAGCAGCTGTAATCTGACAGTAATCCGTAATCTCAATTGATTGTTATCATACTGTTGCGTTTGAATCATTAAATATTTAGCCTTCCATCCCCTGACCCAGAACAGTACGCAGAATGGTACTAGAGCAGAAAATAAGTGATGGTGTGCAAGTAGATGTGCGGCCACAGCGGGATTCTGGGTAATGGAGACTGGGGGGGGAAAGGAAATAGATTTGTGCACTGGCTAAATCTCCAGCCTCGGGGTTCTGCTGCAGCTGATGTGTCATCTCCCCACTGGAGATGAGTTTCATCAGACGCACAATGAGCGTAACCGCTCCGGCGCAAATAAGAGCTCACAGAGAGGGACGCTGTGCTGTAAATACACACGATACCGTAACCTCCACAAAAAACTATCCAAAAAAATGACCACTAAACAATCCAATCAGGCCCGAAATTACTGCAAAATAAATAACACACGCAATTAACAATACTTTAGGCTTACACGTATACAGTTTTTAATAAAAGTACTCCATTTTTTAAATGCAAAACATTGGTCTTAAAATTATTGGCACCCTCCCTTAGACAAAATAACATCACTGAGTCCCTTCCTGTAATATCTAACAAGGATGGAAGCACTTTTAGATGATCTCAGAACCTCCTTCATCATTTTAGCTTTGTGCACTCATTAATTCTTTAATTTTCAACAAGGATCAAATCAGGAACTTACTTGATTATCTTGATTGAATATTAAACCTAGTGTTTTACATTAAGAAAATGGACCACTTTTATAAAAACTGTATACGTGTAAGCCCAAAATATTATTCACTGTGTGTTATTTATTTAATATTATTTGTAATAATTTTGGAGTGGAACTGTATTGTGTAGTGGTCACTCTGATAGTCATTATGTTGCATTGAATGATCCATCCATGGCCAAGTTTTAACATCCTCGCAGAGGCAAGCAGATTTTTTTCCCACAGTTTATCCTGCATCATTTACGAGAATTCATGACATTGTCAGTCATCAGAAGAAGTAGATCAATGATCCACTGTTGACTTTGCTGCATACTGCAAATATAACTAGAGGTTAGCTAGAGTTAGCTAAATTTACTCACCTTACTTCACAAGTGAACAAACAGAACTTTGACAACATCGATAAAATAGACTGTGATCTTTATGTACTTTCTTCCAAACTGCTGATTTCACTTAAACTGGCAGAAAACCTACCAAATTTGTGTTTTTCTGATCTATCTCATACACCACCCCTTTCGCAACTGTGTTTCTCAAACACAGAAACTGAGCGGTACCATCAATTGTCTGAGTGGAAATTTTGAATCATTATGTATATTAGGGATGTAAACAAATATGAATACATTATTTGTAAAAGAACATAAGTATTCGAAATACAAATACGAATATGTGACATATGTACAGAGTTCATTCATTCATTCATCCTTAGTACCTGCCTGGTCAGGGTCATGGTGGTTTAAATAAGGACACTAGTTTGTTTATATTTTAGGGAAATAGAACTGAATAAATTTGTTAGAAAATATCATGCGTAGGGACAAACCAAATTAACAACTGCAAGAAAGCGACTGAATTATGAATTGAAGTGATGTAGCTGAGGTTGAGGAACTGTTTCATACAACGTGCTGACTTTTCAGGTTTAGGCCACGCCCACTTTAGTTTAAATCCAAATAGAGATATGGACACAGACATTGTGTTACATTCGTAGTGTGTAATATTTACTTTCTTTTTCTTTCTGCCCATTTTGTTAATTCTGAAGTGGACTGCAGAGCAATATCATGCCTGAGTAAATAAAATAATAAAAAAAAACAGCACATGCAAGCCCATTTGAACATAGACTACAACGACATGCATGAGCGTATAAGGTGTGACTCTTTATAGCGTGTAAGTTAGTTGTAAACAGTTGAGAAACTTTTTCTCATTTCTACACAGTCATTAGCAGTGGAGAATGCAGATCGAGCATATTTTCATCAAGTCTATGAGCAGAGTTATTAGGATTTCCCCTGGATAACGTGGATGTGTGGGTGGTAAATGTTTATTTGTGCTGTCAGCACTTTGAAATTTAATGGATGCTCAGCTGCCTTCATCCTCTACTGCTCTTCAATAACATGCAAGAGTGTGTGCAACAACATATTTACCTGCTGCTATATATGTAAGGAATAAAACATGCTGATATAGGAAAATAATCAAGGACTGATCTTGTTACCAGTCCAGTGTCCTACACAGCACATCCCAAAGTGTTTTATTCCTCCTTTACCATGGCAATTTGGCATTATAATATTTTATTTAACAAAGAATGACACATCATTACTTTTAATTTGTGCAACATCCAGAAAACAAGTCGTTCCTGTCCTTACTTACGTTATAGCAGCTATAAACAGTAGTTCTCTCATCAGCCTCTCTTTATCTCTGTCTTGAAGTTAATAAGACCAAAAAAAAACACATCTTATCAGAAAACTTCAAGTTACAGCTTTACCCCTGACTGGTACAAAGCGCTGACACTGGAGACTCCTTCCATAAACGTTAAATAAACATCAGTTAGCACAACATTAGTGGGCACAAGTCCCTAATACTGTAATGTATTAGAATGAGCGCATTAATATAAAAACCTGTGATTTACAGCACTACTGCACTTCTATCAGAGCTGCTGTTATAGAAAACTAAGCAACAACACTGTGGTATAAATACATATATTCACTACTGTTTAACCTGGTTTCTGCTTCAAAAATATAAAACAGAACCCTACAGCCAGTAAAAAGAAATGGCCATTTTGCTATGCACGTCACACCTCCTGAAACCACAATGTAGCTGAATACATAAATATTATGCTTTTGTTATTAAAAGTAATGAGAAGTAGGAACTAATTAATCGTCCTCAGAACAGCTCTGTAGAGGTGAAAAACACGGCAGGATAGAGAAATACTGCAAGGTACTCGACACAGCGAGGTTATCTAGAGACAAAATAAAAAAAAGCAGAGATGGGAGGAAGGATTATCTCCGCTCAGGCCCTCCATGGAATGATAATGCGCCGAGCTTCAGAGCCAGAAAAGCCTTCAGGACACGACGGACCGCACAACAAATACCGAACACTTCTGCAATACATATATATATATATATATATATATATATATATATATATATATATAGTCCATGCTCCTGACTTTTGCTAGGCTGATATTAACAGTCGCATCACGTACAGATTATTCTGTTTCGATATCAATGGATCCTCTCTTGACATTTCCGAGCTAATTTATAATCGAGCACGTTATTCTTTCTCTCTAATAACTGGGCCGTATTTGCATCCCTTTTCTCAAGTATTCTTCATCTCTCCTTGGGATAAAAAATGAAAATGTAGTGCTGAAATGGCCGTTTTTTTTTTCCTCACACAAACACAATTACAAAGCAATTTGCAGAGTGTTCTACAGAGTAATGTACGATGGCGTTCGCTGAGAGGCCAGGGCCGAAGGAAGCATCGCTTACATCAAGCAATTTTTCCCCTCATCTCATCTGAGAAGGTAAAAAAAAAAAGAGAAAGAAAAAGCTTTCCTCCTCCATGTAGATTGCTTGTCATTTTGTTGGACAGTGCAGAGTTAAGATAAATGCACAAGATGAGTTTGAGATAGACTGTTACTCATCGTTATTTCCTTTTTCTGAGTGAATTGTTTGAAAACAATAAAAATAAAAATAAGGATATTAAACTGGTGACAAGCTTAATTTAGAAGTAGAAGACTGTAAAGCGACTGCAAAGTGATTTAACATCAGAAGCTAAAACATTTGAGCTTCCTCAATGTAAGGTCTCTGTATGTTACGTTCACTCATTTTTCATTTCGAAATGAAAAAAAGAATATGGACATGTGACAAACATGTACGAAGAAAGCATTTCCCACATCATTTTACCACCACCATCAGTCTGTGCCCTCTGTAGCCTCAGGTTCCTGTTCTTGGCTGACAGGAGTGGAAGCCGATGCGATCTTTTGCTGTCCACCTTTGTTCCTTCTGACATGCTTTTCTCCTCAACACGGTTGTACAGAGTGGTGATGAGTTATTGTAGCCTTCTTGTTAGCTCAAACCAGTCTGGCTATTCACCTCTGACTTCTCTTTCCGTCTGCAGAACCGCCGCTCACTGGATGTTATTTGTTTTTCACACCATTCTTTGTAAACTCTAGAGCCTGTAGTTTTTGTGTGAAAATCCCAGGAGCTCATCCGTTTCTGAAATACTCACATTAGCAATAACAACCATGCCTGTGATCTTGAACGACCTGGGTGTTTATCCGCGATTACTGGATAGCTAGTAGCAAGGAGAAGGTCAATGTAAATTCAATAAAAATACCTATAAAATGCATTTTTATCCTTTAACTTCTGTGTATATAAGATGTACTGCTGATGTACTGCTAATATGGTTCACTATGTGCTTTTTAAGAATATCAAGAGTGGGACAGTGAAGGAGGACAGTAAAGGATAGTGGCTGAAAAAATCAGCAGGATTTGTGTGAAAATCCAGGTGCTGCAGAATATTTTAATCATCCAGTGCAGTTGTTAAAAGCTGCATGATGTTAGCGGATGTTTGCTAGCAGTTCAGTTAGCAATGTAGATGGCTGGCTGTAACGTTGCTTGTTGTTCTTCTTCTTCTTTCGGCTGCTCCTGTTAGGGGTCGCCACAGCAGATCATGGGTCGCGTATTTGATTTGGCACAGTGTTTATGCAGGATGCCCATTCTGACTCAACCATCCACAGTTATCCGGGCTTGGGAGCAGCACTGGGAGTGCACTGTCTTGTGCAACCCCAGTGGCTGGGATTAGTTCCCTAGCTGGGAATCGAACCAGGGCTGTGGCGGTGAGATCGCTGAGGCCTAACCACTAATCCTCCAGAGACCCCTGGCTGAAATGTCGCTAACGTTAGCTAAATAGTTAAATGGCTTGTTTTCAACAGGTCAATTCTGTTCACGATGAAATGGCTTTTGTGTGATGAAATGAGTAGAAACTACTAAAAACTAGTCAATGTTTTATTAAAAAAATCAATTTATGAAAAGAATTTGTGTGTGAAACCAAATAATAATGTAATTATAAAGTAATTGTGAACCAAATTAAAAGCTGTTTCTTTGTTTTCCCCTTTTTTATTTTTAAAAAATGAATGAATGAATGGTGTAACATTTTTGTTGTTGTTGTTTATATGGAGGAAAATGAAAAATAGTCATGCACTGATTACAAAAGTGAAACTGCATGGGGCCAAAAAAAAAAAAAAAAACTCAGACTGTCAAATGAGTAAAAAAAAACCCTTTAGCTTATCTTAGAAAGCAGTCTGTGATTATGAAGTGTTAAAATATTTTACCACTGCTGAAAATTAAAATCACCCCCACTGAGTGCACGTAATTGTTCATCCTCATAAAGTGAATCCACAGAAATCGATTTTCTCCCTTTTTAAGCAGGAGTGAATTCTGAGAAACGAGAGAAGAAGTCTCGTCAGCAGCATGACACAAGAATCGCTTCTCCTTCAGACTGTGTCCTGGCTCCACCTGTTATTAAGCCGCCGTGCCGCCGCCTCGCACAATTGGCTCCTTAATTTTGCGAAAGGTCATAGTGACTGCAGCGTAATTCAATATTCTTATAGCGCTGTACTAACCACATATTTAATCACCAAAGGTAGGACACTAACTGAATGCCTCGGCGTGGCCGGGAAAGGAAACATATGCAGCGCAAAGTGCTCGAGTCAGCAACGTCTGAATGATGAAGCAGGTGAAGAAGAGGCCAAGAACAAGAGGTTCGACATGTACAGCAGGAGCGGGAAGACTACGGAAACAATGCTGAGATCTGATAAAGCAACTATTCCTACAGTCACATTACTGACATTACTGTCCGGTCTTTACCCTCAATCAAATATTCTTCACAGAACTCCACAAGATGTTGAGCTCAAACATATTCAGAAATCTCCCATCGTGATTTCTGGAAAAGTGGCAACTTTAATAATAATTAAAGTAATAATCTGTGATCTGAGGAAGGTGGAGGCATCTTGAATGGTCAGAATCTCGCAATTGAAAGAACCCCATCAGAAAATGAGAAAGCACAGAAAAAAAATACGGGATTAAAAGAACCACTCAGCAACACTGCCGATCTTTCATGACATTTCACAAAATATTCATGATATTTTTTGATCGTTGGTGCAGGAAGTAACTTTGTGGGAAGCAATGTAACTGTGAAAAAGGGGCGGGGTTAGAATGAATATATGTGAGACTGCGCACAAAAACTCGTTAGAAGTCGCAGGAGCTAAATTCGGGAAAAGACGAAAAAAATTATATTAAATTTTGACCAAAAGTGAGTTTTTCTGCTGCTCACACTAGCAAGTGATGAGTTGCTCATGTCATTTGTAGCTTGTCTCTTGTGGGCATGTAGCAACCGTTAATGTTGTCTCTTGTGGGCGTGGCCTGTCCAGCAATTTTTTGTTGGTGGTTTTCTGATGGAAAATGGCAGTAGCTATATACAAATTCTCAAGCTAACTAGTCAAACACAAATGAAATAACACAGTAATCAGTGATTTACACATTACATGCTCGGCTTTGTACTAGCTTCGTTGGCAGTTTAGCAAAGCAAGCTAACTGTAGAAGCTATAACCACTCACCAGAGACATGAACGATCTCTGCTACTTCCTTTCCAAACTTTATTTTTCTTCGTAATGTCTCTGTGCACATTTAATAAGAGCTCGTATATGTCAAGATAAGATAAAACCACGGGAATAAGATTTTCTTCCATTTTTACACGTCAAACTATTTTTAGGTAGGAACTAAAGTTGTGAGCGGGGAACTGAAGAATGTCACATGATTGGGGAGAGGATTTTACTGCATCATAACTAATTGGCAAAGAATTCGCAAAGAAAATCTCCATTCAAACGTTACTCATTGCTGAAATCGCAGCAAAAAGAAATCGCATAGAAAATGAATACTCACTTGTCGCTTTGTCGCTTGTAGCATAACACAGTTCTTAACAATGATGGATATTAAGGAATTCATTTTGTTGACGTATGGCAGATTTCCTCTAATGACTTAATTCAGCATGTTGGTCTAAGGCTATCGATGTTTTCCAAAGTTGAGTTTTTCTGCCACTGTACTTTAACATCACTACGGCACAGGCGTCTTTATTCACGCTCGACTCGGCGTCTCGCTTGGCGATCATGTTGTGTAAGGAAGCAGTTTAACAAAAACAGTCAGTCTACCTAAAGACGTCTAAAACCTCGCAAGCTAAGCGTAATTTTCTCACGATTTGACCAAGTTGTTGGATAGTTACGTTCCATAGTTACGAAACGGATAATCCTAATCAACTCAGTTTGTAATCATGAAGTGGCTGTCAAAATGTCCGCCACACTCCTGCGCCATTACATCATCATCAAAACAGAGAAGAGCACTTACACACTGTGCACACAACGTTTTAAAATGTTTAAATGACTTACTGACAAGAAATTGCTCCAGAAGTGACAGAATGAATCGTTTCCCAACAAATAATTCTTTAAAATTTGGCAGTAATGTTGTTTTTCCATTAGCAGCTGAGGTTACAGATGTAGAGGTAGGCGTGGCTTCTTTTAGTGGAAATGGAATGCAATCTTAAAATGCTTTAAATTTTTTAATTTGTCACTTTTAGGAGATTTTAACATGCTAGAATTTTTCTTGCAATTGAGAAATATGCAAAACAGAAACACATTTTATATATATTTAATATTACATGTGTTAGAAAATGTAAATATTTGACCACGTGAATAACTTTTTTTAAGTGACCTCTCTTGTATGTTTCGATGCATTTGCAGTATTCTGTTACTACGTTTCAAAATCCATCTTTACAATTTACAGAAATTAACTTCTATGTGCTGTATATTTCCGTTTTGAGATTCAAACTAATATGTTATCATCCTCAGTGAAGCTGATACGTCGGTTTGCAGCTCAGTGGTCGTGACACAGCATCCCATCATGCCCAGGGAAATGGAGTGAAGGCCTGGCTCGGTCTCGTTCATTAGCATTGCTTTGTGGAGCGCTAGTCATCAATGCAGTGGCGCAGGAGCTAAAACAGAACACGGCACGTCTGATTTGGGCTGAAATTACAGCCACCTCCACCTCCACCTCCACGCCGACAAAGAACATCACATCCACAGAGCAAGACGCACAACACAGCAAGACACGCCGACAAGGAAATTGTTTCCTGGGCGCAAGAAAGGAGAAAAAAAAGGAGAAAACAAGGGAAATAAGCAAGAGAGGAGAGATAGAGAGATGACAGAGAGGTAATAAAGGATAAAACGCGTGACAGAGGGGGTCAGTTTGAAAGCCGTCACTCTGTCAGACGTGAATTAGGGAGAAGATGGGAAATCCAGATAGCTCCAATGAACTGATCGCACACACTGAGCGACGGAGACACACTGGACAAACATCATGCTACATACCAAGAGACTGAGCTGACATGTTTCACAACACGTACACGTGCTTCTCACGTTATTTTTCCATCTTTAAAAACTGAATCAGGTACCAAAGTTCACCTCGTCTCGAATGACAAGGCTTGGAATTTGTGCCTATTTTTATTAGTTTGATAAGTTTTTTTATAACTTTTTGAGGTTAGATTAAAATCAAATAGAAATATAATTACCGTATATCCATTTTTAAAACGTGCGAGGTCGAGTTCAATTAAATAGTTTCAATTCAAATCTCGTTTAAAGCTGAAAATCGCGGCTCTGTGACTTGACAACACAGTTCTTAACAATCATGCATATTCAATGATGGAGTTCATTTTTGTTTTGTTTTTTTGAGCTTTGTCAGATTACCTAAACGGACTCAATTCAGCACGTCTGTTTAAAGCTGATGATTTCCAAACAAAGAGAACCTGACACGTTGAGCAGTGGGTTATAATAAAAGCGTGATCTAACATGCACGACCCACGCTGCGGTTACATTACGACCGATTAGTAGTGCTGCAGGGAGCCGTTTATCAAGCGCAAATGAAGCCCTGCTTGAATTCCTGTCTTGTTTTTGATAACCACTGATCCCGTGTGGCTATAATTCTTTAGAGAAAGAAAAAGCTGACTCCTCAGTAGCAGTTCAGAGTATAAGTAGTTCTGCTGCCATGAAATGAAGGTTAAAGTCAATCTAAAATAACATACTCACAAAACTGCTCTATGAATCAGATCCGACATTAAAGGTGCAATAGTCGATTTTTTTTATTTATTACTTTTACAAATAACCTGGAAAATATGTAGATCGTTATACACATAATGGTTTAAGCCATAGCCTTAGCACGAGTGTATAAAGTGGGTGAGGAAACCTGCTTAGAAAACTGTGCTTTGGTCCAGAATTCTTGTCTGTGTTTATATCAACCTCCTGTCAATCATCTTATAGACACACCCCAACACTTCTTCACTCCGCCCCCCATCTCAGTCTGTTCGGAAAGAAAAGTATGGCTGAAATCGGTACAGCCAGATAATTTTCCTGGGAGCTAAAAACCAAAAAAAAATAATAATAATAATAATTAAGCAGAAACACAGTAAAATGCAGCACTGTTTTTTTTTTTTTCCATGATGGAGTAATTTATTACTAGTGAAGAGGATGAAGCTGGTGTTAGTGTTCGTTAGCTACTGGACAGGTCTGTAAATACAATCTGTATAAAGCTCTGAATTGTTTGAATGGACGACTTTACACAACAAATCAAGTAGATACGTTTTTTTTTCCATTACAGAGAAAAAAAACAAATAGCAACGACACTCTTAATCATTCTCACAAATCACTATGAGCCAAATCTCACGTCTTTATAGCGCTATAACTCAGCTTTCAAGCAGCTGAAAGAGATGTCATGACGATGTTTGCTAATGCTAATGCTAGGCAGCATGATAGCTAGTCGAACGCTACAAGG